TTCTTCCCACTGTTGATGAACCAGAACCGGTGAAAGGAAAACAATCACCAGCTCGTAATCCTACAGACAGAGTGATTCGCATAGCTGGTCTTGTCAGACCATTTACCGTTGGTCAACTGAAGGAGCTTTTGAGGCGCTCAGGAGACTTGGATGATAACTATTTCTGGATTAATGATATCAAATCCCATTGTTTGGCAGCTGTAGGTTATTGTCAAATGCATGTATAGTTTAAAAAATTGAGAGTGCAATAAGCTGTTAGCAAATCTTTTATCTTTTCTTATTTAGCTTGGTTAAGAATGCCTTGTAATTGTTTTGATTTTAAAACAATAATGAATCATCTATTAACTTTTTCAATGCAGTATAAAACAGAGGAAGATGCAGTTAAAGCCCGTGCAGCTCTTCATGGCACAAGATGGCCCCAGTCAAACCCTAAAATTCTCATAGTGGATTTTGCAACAGTTGAAGATGTTCGTAGTTTAAAAATATATTTTAAAAAAACTATTCTGTTAGCGTTCCTATGTTCATTGTTTTTAAAATAAAAGTTGAGAGCATTTAACTGTAAAATACTCTAACACACACACAAATAAATTCTATTAGAATATGCTACGTGATAATTTCCCACCATGCCATTTTGATGACTTTGTAAATAATTTGCAGGTGAATCATAGAAAGGCTGAAGGTGATGTTCCTTTACCTGCACTTGCCAAAAAGTCCCAAGAAGATTTTAAGAAACTTCGGGAACAGAAGGAAGAAGAGGAAAAGGATAAAAGACAAAAGCTGAGGGAGCAGAGAGACAAGGAAAAAGAAGAGAAGGAAAATAATGTTAGAGAAAAGAGAGATGAAAAAGATAGAACTCGAAGAAGAGAACCAGAGAAAAAGAATCCAGTGCGAGAATGGGATAGGGACAAAGTTCAACAATTATCAAAGTAATTTTTATCCTTTTTAAAAAAAACGAAAGATATGGTTTGTGATGAATTATGCTATCATAATTATATATTAGAAGTAATTTATGTAATCTTGGTCTTATAAGAGAGAATTTATTTTTAATTGGGCATACATTGTTTGAGAGACCTAAACAATATTTAAAAAATAAAGAAATGAATTTCAAATAAAGAATTAGCATTTAAAAAAATATGTTTACAGTGTGTACAATGCTGCCTTTCCTTTTTAAGGTCACGGTCTCGCTCTAAAGAACGTGAAAGGCCCGTTAGAAGGTCCCGTTCAAGATCACGTGAAAGAGAACAGCTTAAGCGAAGGGATCAAAGCAGAGATAAGAAGGAAGAGGAACGACGTAAAGAAAAAAAACAGAAAGGTTGTTGACAGTATTAGGATTTCATAGCCTGCAAAATCTTCCGGTTGATAATTATTATACAAGGGGTTTTGGGATTATGTTACCATTTCTTATAAAAATTAACATTTCTTTTTTTTACTGTTTCAATTCATAACTGCTGTGTGTGTGCTCTCTGTCTTCACTTTTATTTATTTAGCATAGGAGGAAATGTCAGGAATTTTTCTCTTATAAAATAATTATATTTTTTAAATTAATTTTTTTTATAATTACTGTTTCACTTCATTGCTGTACTGTGTATGTGCTCCATGTGAGTGACCTAGGTGTTTATAAAGGTGGATTCCGACTTGGTTGAAAATCGCTTTAAGTTGCACCGTAGAAATGAAACCCTGTCAATTTAATATGAAATTAATTCCAAATTAATTATACTGCTATTTCACACCAACTATTTTATGTGGAAATTATTTGTAAATACTGCTCATACTCGTGTTTAAGTTGAGAAATTTTGGTCTAAAACTTGATTTTAGAACACAAGAGTCCACTTATCAACGGATCAGTGTCAGTTTCGATAGAATTTTATAAATTGAATGCTGGGCAATATAGAGTTACCAGTTGTGCTAGTGTACTTATCGGTAGCTGTATGTTGACCCAGTTACCAGGTACACACACACAGACAAAACCGCAGCTGGTGATGCTTGACTGAAATTAATACCAAGGCACATGCCTTATGGCTAACAAATGAGTCTGTCAACCTCTATCCCAGGGATGTCACTTGATACCACTGACTGCAAGAGTGTATGACACTGACCATAATATACATTGAATGGATTACTACTAAGTAAAATCTGACATAATTATAAAAATCACAAAATATACCTTCACGAGTTTTAGCATATTTCACAATTGTTGTTAAAAAAACTTCCCTTGACTTAAGGATATGATCGACTTACAAACAAGTATATACTTTCTATTTCTAATATCATTATTATTTGGTACAAAACTCTTCTTAAGTGGCCAGTACTTTATTTTATTGGTAAGCTGTATTACCTATATTTATTAAAGACTAATAGCAATTTGTTATTTTCTTTGTTCAGAAACAAAAAGTGAAGAGGAACCCCCAGCCAAACTCTTGGATGATTTGTTTAGGAAAACAAAGGCTGTTCCTTGTATCTACTGGTTACCACTAACTGAAGAACGCGTAAGAGATTAGCATTAACTGAAATTTTAACACACTTTATTTTTACTCATCAGTAATACAATTAAATAGAGCAACATAGACATATGAGTAAAGATTTAACTTGTTAAATAAAATGAGATATAAATGTTTTCCAGAATTGATTTCATTGGCATAATATTTTGGTTTAATTGATCTACAATGGTGTGTACAGTACATGTTGTCAGCTAATGAAAGTTAAAAGCATAAAGTTTAATCATCATTCATTTTAGAATATTTTCTTATAAAAATTGTGCACCTAACATAAACAATAGATTTTTATGTAAGGCACCCTAATGTCAGAATAAATTGCAGTGTACATACTTTTGAATTATGTAAAACCACATTCTTAACATTTCTAGTCAGTGCAGCGAGCTGCCAAAAAATTAGAAATGGAGAAGGAACGACAGAAGAGAATTGCTGCTGCAGAAGAACGAGAAAAAGAAGAACAGAAAAGAAGGGTGAGAGCAATACAATTCTTGTTTTTAAAAAAGCATACAAATGGCTGTTTTCCCATTATGACACTGATATGGTGTGTATTATTAGTATTATATTTATACTATAAAATGTAGATAATTAAAAAAATTTGATTCATTTGTAATTTTATTGTTAAATTGAATTAGTTTATATACAACAAAATCCTACAGGAAGCTGCACGGTTAGAGCGCCAAAGAGAACGGGAGAGAGGAAGAGAACGAAGTCGGGAGAGAGAAAGGGAGAAAACCAGACAAGAAAGGAGCAGATCCAGCAGAAGTGACAGTAGAAGCAAATCTCGGAGGAGACGCTAACTCTATTGTGATTAAAAAAATAAAAAAATACACTTATTTTTTTTAATTTGCAATATAAATATTACATGACTCTAATTTTAAAAAATAAAGTGGAACTTAAGATTGAAAAGTGGAGTGCATGAGTATTACATTTTAATAAAAATAACAAATGAAACTCTAAAGCAATTGTGCTACTTTTGAAGTTTAAGGCAAGATGGAAAGTTTAAAATATATTACTACATTTTTAAATCACCAAAATTACGCTTTCTTGATAATCCGTATGGTTGTTTAAATTAGGATTCCTATGATTATAATATACTATCACAATCTTAGATTCTTAAATGGGTTCATTTATGCCATTGTAATGACTGTAAATGATCTTTAAACAAATTGAAAAATGAAGGAAAAGATTTTTTTGGGAACATTTTAAAAAGTTTAAGTATGCTATTGCACAATTTCCATGAATTATTAACTGGTATAAGTGTTTAGAGTGGGTCACATTTTAGTGATCCAAGTTGGTCTGTAATTTTATCTCAAGCTTTCTGTAATAAAAATGAAAATTGAATAAATAAAATTATTATAAATTTGCCAATTTGAATTTGAATGGAATTTGTTTTTTGTGTTTAATAAAAAGGGTGTTGCATGCACATATATTTATCAGTTGTCAATAATATTTTATTAGATGACTTACAAATAAATCAGGACCAAGTCTGGATATGACTGCCTGCGGACAGTATCAATTTTGACTGTTGAATAGTATAAATGGTGATTTTAATATTAGGCATTTGCAAACATTTTGGATCAACTCGCATGGTTCAAAATATATATTTTTTTAAGCATGTAGCAGACATGTAACTTTGAGTCAGTGGCACATACTATCCTTGTCAAGTTTATCAATAAATTTTAAGTAAATTTATCTACAGCAAAGACACTACTGAGAATGTTTTCTTTTAAATTTAGTATATTTAGCATTCATTATCTTGAATATACTGCTAACTGCTCTTTTAATTTTACTCCGTATTTTTAAATGACCAAACATTTTGAAGAAATATTAAAAGGGTTTTTCTTTATGGAAAATTAAAACTTGCTTTTTTTTTTTGTTAATGCTGTAAATTAATAAAAAATCTGTAAAAGTCTAAAAAAAACAATTTTTCAGCAGACCTGTTAAAATTATAATAATTATGTGTTGAAATTCTTCAGGCTCTTGAAATGTGTGGCAATGGATTATTTGACAAAGCATTCAATTTGTTGATAAATCAAAGAAATGTGACGTTCCAGGGATGCAACCTGGTCCTTTAAAAATGATAGTAATAAAAAAAATAACAATGGTGCAGCAAATTTATTACTAACACTAGTGTATTATGTTATTATAATGTAGTTAGTTAAGGTCTCCAGATTATTTTACTTTACAATGACACCACTACACAGTGATTTGAAGTAGTAATTCCTAGCTGCTAAATAATTTATTCCTATTTTGATAGTCACTTAGGTCATGATGTTAGTAACAGCTTAGGAATTGTAATTCTCTTATATGTCCATCTAACCAATGTGGCTTGAATTTAAATTAAGTTGGTAAACATTTCTAATCCGTAACTATTCATATTAATAAAAGCAGCACTTCCACATTTATTTAGCGGTTCATAAATGTCGGTTCAATTTGATGACATTTTTAATTTATTACATTGCTTACTTGTGGGAAACAAATGAAAAACTAATTTATAAAAGTGTATAGTACTTTATTTTTTTTTTAAACATACAAAAAAATTAATAAATATTGAGTATAAAGTCATGAAAAAATATAAATCTTTTCACTGATTCAAAATTGTTTAGGTTTTAAGTAGGATTTTGATGTTTAATTTAGGAGACTTTAAAAAAAATATTTTTTAATACTAATAGTTACCGGAATCTGGGAATAATGATACTTAAATATTATATGATTAAAATTAAAGGAGTATTTATATAATTAAACAAAAATGTGGAATGAAAATTAATAACAGTCATACACAGGGAAAAAATCTTGGCAAAATATAGCACCTCTGACACAGCCATGGACGGATGATTATGTACATACATTTCATTATACTTATTAAAATGAAACATTATTAACTGGTTTTTTAAAAAAATCACAGTATTTGGCAATATGTAAAAAATGGTAAATAAAAGAATGGATCTCAATTCTAACTTCCCATAAGTTTTTGACACTATAAATTAAAATATATATAGAGAATTTTCCTAAATACATTGGGTGCTAGTACTAACTAACTAAATGTAATAATTAAAAACTCCTTTATTTAATTACAAACATTTGCCATAATTAAAAAGGGTCATCAGGAACCTAACTAACCAAACGCTCAAATATTTTTAAACAGGACAAAAATTGCTCAAACAAATAAAGTATGGCATTATGTCAGACTCATCTATAATATACTTACACACACACATATATATTATATATAATTTATACTGTGAAACTAAACAAAGAAATGTACAAATTTGATCCCTTACTTAATAATTAAGACTAAATAACATTTTGTCCTTTTAGTGCCCAAAGGGCTGTGGAGTATGAGCATCTTGTGCGAACAATATCTTGCAGAAAAGGATTATAAATCGAGATAGTTTTACAGTCTCAAATGTTGGGATTCTTGTGATCACAATTTAGGTAGTAAAAGAAAATTAGGGAAACAAAAGTTTGTCCACTTTTTATATAAAGTTGAGTGGGATATACTCAAAAAAAAATTTCAAAAGCAGATAAATATTGTTTTCTGTTATGTCAGTAAAATAGGGTTTCAAAAAGATTGCCTAAAGGGCTCTTTAATAAAAGTTATGAAAGATTATTTTTAAAAATATATTACATTTTAAAAAATAATTGTTTTTTGCTAATGTATATTTTATTAATTTATGTACAATATAAATTATTAACTCTATTTACATAAAGATGACACAGATCCAGCTTTTAAATTCAACATAAGGGAGAGTAAATCCACCAGCTTTAAATAATGAGATCATTTTACAAACAGATGTTTAACTATTATTATCCCTATTATCATATCACCAAAGAAATTGATTTTTTTAAAATGCTGTAGAGGTTCTCCTATTTATTTACAAACACCCCCAAGGTTTGGGGTCATATTAAGTAAGAGACCTTTGAGTATGGGGAAAAGGTCTTGATCAATGCATATGTAACAAAAAATTATGACAATCAAAGAATCATATTACTTTGCCATCATGCAGAAAATTTAAACCTGGAATAAATTTAAATGTATAAGTAGGATTATTTTTCATACATTTCAAACATTACCTCTCAATCTGGTTTTAAAACTCTATTTAAAAAACCAAAACAGTGTAGTGAAGGGGTTTTGAAAATCTATGGGATTTTTTTGTGGGGCAGGTGAACATGTAAAAAAAACTTTTCCCAAAGTGACATGAATGGATAGATACTCCACACACAATTACACAAAGACCTAAGTCATTTCAAGTTTATAATTTTTTTCCCTCATTTTACATAAAAATCACTTTAACCAGTTTGAAAGTCTGCAATGTCCTATTAAACATACAAACATATAATTATCCATTGATAACTTTGTAATTCCTAAATAGTAGTATGTATCATATTTCATTCTCAGGAAGGGGGTAAAAAAAACCCAGAGAAACTTCAAAGTAGGAGGATAGCAGCAAATTTGGTGTGGAGATTAAATATCAGCTATTGGTACAAAAATTGCAGTGGTCTTAACATAAAAATTAAGGCTGCTTGAACAAATATAGAAAAAAAAGTATATATACATGTTCTTATATTTTATTCTGTTGCTTTATTTTATTGTTAACCTTTGTGCAAAACTACAAACCTTCATCAATGAAATTTCACACCTAAATACATATTTTAAATAGAGACATCTAAATGGTCAAAGATTTCACTGCTTGCTTGAGTTGTCATCTGAAAAATGGAGTAGTTCATCATTTTCCATTTCCTCCTTTAGTGCATCAGTTAGGTGCACATGGTCACGGAGTTTCTTTGTGCCACTGAGTAAAATGTTCTTGACACGTTTGTTTTCAGAGGTAGCTGCTTGCCACATGGTGTCCAGGTCTTTTTCAATAATACTGTTTTAAAGAAATATCAAAGTCTTCAATAAACATGTGTTCCTTATCAGAGATGTTTACAATTTAATTAGTGATATGATAAATACTGTATTTATTGGCGTATAACATGCACTTTTTCTCCCCGAAAATAGGGGGCAAATCATGTGTGCGTGTTATACGTCGATATATTGTTTAGTTTTTTTTCCTGAAATTTCCTTCTTAAATTGAGGTGCTTGTTATACGCGGGGGCGTGTTATACACCAATAAATACAGTATTCTTATGTTATGAAAACAGAGAGGAATGGAGAAGGATAGTTTTCATGTCATCTGTGGCGCCTTAACGGTCCAAGGACTAAGGGACATCATGATGATGAATATTTTGATATAATCAGCAAGGACAATACATGAACAAAAAACAAATTTTAAACAAGCAAAACAAATTATCAGTTAATTCAAGAATATAAAAAAGAAAAGAAAAAAAAAGGGAACATAAAATAGATGAGAAATAAAAATGTTACTTTTTGTCCAACTCCAAAGTTTCAATGATTTCTTCCTTCTCTTTGAGCAGTAATCGTAAGTAGTGTATTTCTCTTTCATATTCTTTTTTCTTGCTATTAAATGCGTCATCCTGCTCTTTAAGTCTGAATTGTAAACAATAACTTATTGTTAAGTATGACTTAACATTATGAAGTTTACTGAGCTATATTTAAATGAATCAGTGATAGAATGTAACAATAATAAGATATTTAGATTTAATAAGATTATCAATCAATATGCTTATTACAATACATCAATTGTTCTATTCAAAAGTTAAAAAACTCCACTGACCATTCTGCTACTGTATTAAGTTTTGCAGAGGCTTTCATGCCTTTCGATAATACCATATTTAGATTTAATAAGATTATCAATCATATGCCTATTACAATACATCAATTGTTCTATTCAAAAGTTAAAAAACTCCACTGACCGTTCTGCTACTGTATTAAGTTTTGCAGAGGCTTTCATGCGGTACAGCTGTCAGATAAAATATTTAGGAATGTCATAAAAATTAAAATACAGTTTCATGCATTGAATAAAGCCAATTTTCTACTTTAAATTACCTCTACAGAGGCCATTAAAGATAATTTAAACCCATAAAATATTGTTTACTAATCAATATAGCATATACAATGTATTCATAGATGAAATTACACAAAAACACATGTAAAAATAGCGTTTGTTAATTTGTCAAAACATCCCTAGGCCTATACAAGAGGTAAAATCAATTAATATTTTACTAAAATGAACAGTTTTCTTGGCTTTTGTTTCATCAAACTGAACAATTTAACAAACTGTGTGAACTGATTCAATCCTATCATTAGATGTAACTTATTTGAGTAATCTTACTTTAAGCTTTTCCTCTAATTTTCCTACTGCTACACTGCCATGCAACATCTTGTTTACAGTCTGTTTAGTCTCCTCCTGCTGCTCTCTGGCCTAGAAAGAATATTTTTTTTAAAATTCAGGTTTAATTAAATTACTGCAACATTCAATTTTTCGGGTTACTCTTTGACACCCTAAATTTTACCTAAAGTAAAAATTGTCTGCTCTGTAATACACATTACTTAATTACTGGCAATCTGGAACTGGAAAAGATTTCATGAACTTACCACTTTGTAAACTGTGTCCCTCTCTAAAGCAGTTTTTTCAGCCTGTGGTTTGAAATAACATTTTTCAAGGTTTACTGACCAAATGTAGACTACAAATTTGATTTTAACTTAACAAATATATTACTTTTTTTTTTTTTATATCTTGAAAATTGTAATATATTCTAAAAGCTAGTTGTTTCTATTATTATTATTTTTTTTTTCAACTTTAAAGTAATAATGTTTCCTTAGGTTGGAATCATTAGCTTTTAGAAATTTTTAAAACAATATTTTCAGACAAAAATTATTTGTTACATATAAGTAATTTCACTCATTTTGATAACACCAATTTCTTTGGCCAATAACTGATAGCTTACAACTTTAATGACATTGGCCAGTTGCTCTTGTGTAACCATCTCTTTGTCCTCAGATAGCTCTATGGCCCTATGCAGCAGTGTCATTTTTTGCTGGGCGTGCCTGAAAGCATGATTTATCAAATGGTTGATAAAAAATAAAAAAACAGTGAAATTGCTGGCATCATCCAAACAAAATGCCAATAATTTATTTAACAAATGTATGGAATAAATTCTTAAAAATGTTATGTGTTATTTTAGAATTGACTTTCCGTTTCCTCCTCCCTATCAAAAAAATAAAAGAAAGATATATGTTCAAAAGTGCATGATGTAACTCAGAAATAGCCAACTAAAATAAAAAAGATGACTTCAATCTTTTTTTTAAGCCAGTGGCAACCACTACAATCATAATTGTTGGACTGTTACATTTTGCTTTCACTTTAAACAAAACTAACCTAACAGATTTTTGCATCGCTTTAATTTCTGCTTTAAGTCTCTTATTTTCAGCCACTACGTCAACCATTTGCAACGCTTGGTTCTTTCTTTCTTCTTCTGATGCCTTTATATCATTATGAAGAAACATTGATTTAAAAGTTATATAAAATTACTGGTGTTTATAAAAAAAAAAAAAAAGTGAAATATATCCTTCTAAAAAAAATAATTAAAAAACCCCCACTGCACTATATGAATTAGGATAATAAAAATATATATTTTAAAGAAAAATTGATTTAAAAGTTAAATAAAATTACTGGTGTTTAAAAAAAAAAAAAAAGTGAAATATATCCTTCTAAAAAAAATAATTAAAAAACCCCCACTGCACTATATGAATTAGGATAATAAAAATATATATTTTTTTAATGCAAACGAATAAAAATAATTGTGTTTATGATATAATATGAATCATAAATGTATAAACAAAACTGATGCTTAACTAAATTTACCAGAGGGTCTTACCTTGAGTTTGATCATGATGGCATCTATTTCTCTTTCTAATTGTTCTTTCTCTTCTGTCACAGATCTTTATAATTTTTTTTTAATAATAAAAAAAAACATTACACTTAATAAATTTAAACATTTCTTTAACAAAAAGACTGCACATATTTGTATAAACAACTATTTATATTTTCATGAAGCAAGTGACTTCTACTTAAGCCCAATCTCTAGTACTTAGAGGTTAGAGGTTAATTACAAAATTTTTAGATTAATCTTTTCATATACACTAAAGGGTTTAATTATTTTTATTCTGAATAGCTGCGAAAAGTGAAGAAAGGTTTAAAGTTCAAGCTACTGTTACTCTCAACAGTCAAAAACTTTTAAACATAACATGGGTCTTTCATTAGCTTTGACAAAATAAAATAATTCATAAACACCTTCATTGTGTAATAAAAATTGGAAAGAAACTCTCAGATATTTTTAAAAAACCATTCATATAGGAAATTTTGGACACAAATTTGACTTAATTTTCGGTGTTACGAGGCACATTACAGACAGCCTTGGTGGAAAGTTGAGCAAAATCACTTGTGGGCCATAAAAGTTCAGGCTAAAGCAACTTTTTTCCTAATGAAGTGGGATAATTCTTGCCAACAGATACCTTTTAAGGTCAGAAATGGTGTTGATGTGTGTGTGAACATTGACTTGTGAGCCAACCTCCATCACCAGCTGATCATGCTTGTGTTTGACCTCACGAAATTTGATCCTCATCTCTTCAAGCTGACGCTCATTATCAGCTTTATCTCCTTCTACAATTGCTATTTTCTTGGCCATTCTGGAGACTGCAGAATTTTTATCAAAATTACATAACCAAGTTATTTTTATTTCTTTAAGATATAATGTAACAAAATTGTTTGAGATATGGGATTCTTTCACTAGCACAAGCACATCATCAGAATTCTGCTTTATTATGCCAGAACAACATTTTTTATATAAGTTTATAGTAAATTAATAGCCCTTGTTTTCTGATTAAAACAGGCCAGATCCAATCTTCTTCACTAAAAAACAAAATATTATGAGGTTTAAGTACATGCATTCAGCAAGTTTTTAAATATCCAGATTACAATAATTTGAACTGTACCACTTCACTAAAATGTTTTATTTTATTACGCTTACACAGACCAATTGCAGTATTTATTAGATTGAGATTCAGTTTGATAGTTTGTTTTTGACATCTGTAAGCCAAAATTTCTATAGGTTCCCCTATTTTTAACAAAGCTGAAATTTGGTACACAGATTAAGATCCTTGATCTAACCTCAAAATATTACATATTTTTATGCACCAGGAAATACAGATTCTTCATTATTTAAATATTTCAAAATTCAACCAGTTTGGTCATGCTAGCATACCAAGAGCCTATTGCTGTATAGATCATAGGGAAAAGATGGAGGTGGATAGGACACAATCTCCAAAAAACCCCAAAGAACATCATAAGACAATCCCTAACATGGAACCCTCAGGGGAAAAGGAAGAGAAGAAGGCCAAAGAAAACAATGGAGATGCAAGCTAGAGGCAGACACACAAAGTATGGGATACACATGGAAGCAACTAGAAAAAAAAGCATAGGACCAGAAGAATAAAGAACTCTTGTAGATGGCCTATGCCCCAGATGGGGTTAAAGACATAAATAAGTAAGTAAGTTGCTGGCGCAGACACTAGGTTATTTGGATGCTTTGGAATAATTTATTTGTGAAAATTTTGTTCTCAACCAGTATGAACAGTTTTATTAGGTTTTATTGCAGTCCAACACTCTTAATGAGTTTTCCTAAGTTTAAAAACAACATTCTTGTGGAACAAAAAAATAAATAAATAATAATAATAATAATAAAGTTCATTTCAAAAACACGCTTCATCCCCAAAGGCTCGAAGCGCGGTACAAAGTCAACAAAAAAACAAATATATAATTTACCACATTTAAAACAAACGCAACACTACAAAACTAATTACAAGCATACAATGTCAAAGTCTTTCTAGCCATTTCAACCATAAGCAACACAGCCATTATGCATTAACTGGAAATAACCAAAAGATGATTTGAAAAAAAAATCCAGTAGTTATTTTATTTTTTTGAGAAGTCATTACTTTTCTCCAGTTGTAAACCTTTACTTCCAGGTACAAATGACATACTCCAAATACACAGATTAATAACTTCCGAAATACAGGTGACCTACTTTCAGACATATGTGCAGTGTGCATATCCCTGGACTTGTTGGCTTGTACCTGAAGCTGTTCCAGGAGAACCTGGTTTTCCTCCAGCACCAGACGAGCTTGTTCTTGAAGCTGCTGCCTGGTTAATGAAAAAGTTCACATGTCACAAACATTCATTAGTGTCTACATAATGCAAAATTTCATTTGTCACAAACATTCACTAGTGTCTACATAATGTAAAAGTTCATATGGCACAAAAATTCATTAGTGTCTACATAATGCAAAAGTTCACTTGGCACACACAATTTAGAGTCTACATAAGTGAATTCAGTGCTATCAGGTATTAGAACGTCTTGTTCTCCATAAAAATATATGTAGATTAAGAAGAAATCTAATGTTAAAATGAAGTCTTACAATTCAAAACACATAAATTCCAACAATTTATATTTCAGCTATCTTTGTATGTCCACTATAATTTATGTCCTGGGTGCGCTTCTGAATATATCATTGTATGAAATGTATGTAGTCTCACTTTTGATTCATGACTTAACTAAGAGAACTCTCTCACTTTAAGAAACTAAATTAAAACTTGACTGTTATCAAATTTCAAACATTATATAAATTCACTCGAATATTAAAAAACTTAAAAGATTATATCAACTCAAGTGTTCACACAAAGTTACAGAACCAAGCCTTACCATTCTGATCTGTCACCTTGAAAACCTGATACTGTCCCACTTGACAAACGAAGCTTTTGATTTTCTTTTAAAATATCCTCCACCCTCTTCTTTATTGAATCTAGTTCATTCTATAAAAATAATTGAGGTAAAAATTATGCATCACTGTTGCCCCATCCAAGCAATGGTTACAAGTTTTGCCCTAAATGAATCTCTCATAACCAACCTTATAGTTATTGTTGAAGTTATTGTATAAAATTGTGTAGCATATAAACGAAGGAGATCCAAAAAGATGTTATTACAGGCTAAGTAACAGGTCTTATCTCTTTCTTTTAGTTGGTTATTTATGAGTTACATTAAGCATTTTTGAACATATTTTTAAAAAAAATATTCCTAATTTGTATTAATATTGTGTGGCCATTTGAACTCAATAATTAAGTAGTGGAAATATTGACACACTCTAACCTTAATATGAAAGGTTATAAAAGAATCATCGGGTAGGCTGAAAACAGAAAAGATGTTCGCTTTAAACAAAAGAAATGTTTGTTTTTTTTATTTACAAGAGAATATTACAAGCCAAGTATTACCCTGCATTCATCAATAACTTGATCTTTTGCTTCCAGTCGATCGTCATAAGCCAAAAACAGGGGCGCCAGGTATCTTTTGCTTATCTGAAAATAATTGTCACAGATTGGGAACAATGGGTCCTGGCTAGGAAAATGTATGATAAAAATCAAGGGAAAAGTGTACTACAATGAAAGATAATCTTTGATGTTAGCAGGATTTTGCATTAGTGAGTGAAGATAACATAGATTATTTCAAATGAAATATTTGTAATTCTAGTGAAGTGAAAAAAAAAAATATGTTCTTCAAAAAAAAACAAAGAGATGATAAATTTTTCTATCCCATTGATAAATGTATTTTCTTGAATAATTTATCCAACACCCTGGAATGACAAGTAGCTACTGTTTATCACTGTTAGCACTGAATAAAATTTTATGCCTGTTTTTTTAAATGCATTTATATAGAATATATATATATATATATTATGCCAGCATCAACTCACCAGCCATGATGGAACAGGACCAGATGATGGTAGACCACTTATTTCTTTCGCCTATAAAATATGAGAAACATGTATGCAGTATTAAATTTGAAAATAATTTTTGTTTTACATTTTTTTTTACAATCGTCAAACAAAGAATTCCAATGTTTTTACTGTTAGAAAGTTGTTAAGAAAACAATCTACTACTGGTATCTAATATCCTAAAATTTTACCTTCAGTTTTGGAACATATTAAATTTAAAAAAAATTTAATAGAATGCCTTTGAATTATTAACAAAATAAAAAAATGACTTAAATGCGTTTACTTCAATAATCAACTAGTTCCCTTGAATAACAAAACTACATCATACTAATATTCACTTTTATTTACGATAAATGACTTTGCATCTAACGGTTAACCACACAGGAAATACAATATTTAAGTGAGCACCTTTTTTAAATGTGATGGGTCAACAGGTCGGTATTTGGCCTGGTAGTCACTGAGCTCAACATTCAAACGGTGAACTGTTGTCTTCAGGGTCTCATTCTCCCCTTTGATCTCGTCCATCTGTCTCCTCACAAATAATGCCTTAGCACCATCAATGTCTGCAACATTGAATAGAACTGAAATACTCTTTCTGACAGGTACAGGTGTGATAACTATTTGATTTATAATGGTTTTATTTCAATTGCTTAAAATAAAGATACTGCACACAAAAAATGTATTACTTTGATAATTATTAAATTTTAAAATGCATTCTAAATTGTTAGACAAAAGGGAAAATTTATAAAAAAAATTCTCCAGGCATTCATTACAAAAACTTCAGCTACAGACAATGCAAAAAGTTATTTTAAAAAATTGCTGAATGCATATTTTTAGCATTTTCTTGTGATGCAACCAAGCAAATTTATTTAGCTTTCAGTTGACATATTTTAAATAAATTATTTATAAAACACAGATTAAACAAATTTATTTCACACTAAAATGGTGTGACAATGTGAGATGAAACTTTTTAAAATGTAACCAACTTAAGTTTGTTAATAGATGGAGGACTGCATTCATGCTGTGTGAAGGAAATAGTGGCACAAGGTATATGGAAGCTTGAATTATAAATACAAGACAATGAAAGAGCGTTTCGGCCAAGAGCCTTCCAGTAATCTTGGTTTTTGAAAACCCAACTTCCAGCAATAACATTAATAGCTGACACTCAAGTTTTTGCACTATTTTCTATTTCTTGTTCTTTCTTCCTTTCCCCTGTCTGCTGAGAAAGGCTCTTAGTCTGTTAGAATGCATTAGGAATTGATTTACTTAACATTGGGCTTCAATCATTTTAATTGAGGAACTATACTTCTTCATTAATTACAGGTTAAAGATTGCTATTTTAAGAAGAAAAAGAGTATATAAGGGTATATAAAGAGATTTTCAGGACTTCAAAGATCATTTTACAAACATGGGAGTTTTTGAGTAGCGTGTACATACTTCCATCCCGAATAGCTTCTGCAACTTTTCTTAATGAATGAAGCTCTGATAACAGCTCCTCATTGTAGGCCTGAAGCTCAGATAGTTTTATGTCAGATATGTCAGAACCTCTGGGTGTCCTCATTTGAGTCATTCGCCCCCCTGGAAAATAAACAAAAATATCAGAAAATATTTGGAAACATTAAGGATTTAAAAAAAAAAATGATTGAAAAAGATTATTTCTAAGTTTAAGAACAATTTGATTTTTTTTTGGGGCAACCCTAATTGAATACTTATTTAATAGGTAAGGTGAACCACCTTAAATTGTTATCTACATGTTAAATATACATGCATATAACACTATATGGATGTTGGAAAATGAAATTGGTAATTATCAAATAATAACAAATTTTGGCTGTATAACTGTATTGTAATGATTTCATTACCACAATGATAAATATCTGTCAAGTAAATTTATTTGGTATAACTTCCAAACCCATTACCACTCTATTTATATGCAGAATGCAGCACAGAAATAAATCTTTAATAGCTGAGAATTTTGTTTTCTGAGGAGAAAGAATTTCTTTAAAAAAAAAAAAAAAATCAAATATTAAAAATCAACCACCATAACTGCTTAGGAAGATGGTAAAAAAAAATAATTATAAAATGATGTCTGTATACTGGAGATCAAGAAAAAATTTATTTGGTATAACTTCCAAACCCATTACCACTCTATTTATATGCAGAATGCAGAACAGAAATAAATCTTTAATAGCTGAGAATTTTGTTTTCTGAGGAGAAAGAATTTCTTTAAAAAAAAAAAAAAATCAAATATTAAAAATCAACCACCATAACTGCTTAGGAAGATGGTAAAAAAAAATAATTATAAAATGATGTCTGTATACTGGAGATCAAGAAAATCATAGCAAGACAAAATACATTCTTGTATAGAAAACCAAACACATCACCAAACATTACGTGTTTACAAAAAGCAAATGAGTTACAACAATGAAAGATTGCAGGAGATGATTTAACAGCTATGCGCAAAATTGACATTTAGAAAAGATTCACTTTGTCTTCCTTTTATACGACAACACATAAGTATTTGGCATTTAAAAACAGGGCAATTCAGTCCCTGACGTGAGGCAAGGAAACTAACCAGAGAAGTGAAAGGGGCTTTTACCAAAAGCTGATGAGTTAGAAAAGCACAAAAAAACTTTTAAACTATTAATTTAGTGAGGCAGATGTTAACATTTAGTGAGGCAGATATTAACATTTCGTGAGCCAAATAGATGATAGAAATAATATAATTGAGATTTTTAATAAGTTCAAGCCCTCTTCTTTCTTAAAATAATCTGGAAAGAATATTTAACTCTATTTCAATAAGTAGAAAAACTGTTACTGGAAAAAAGTGCTGTTTTTTCCATTAGAGAAAAATTAAATTTTGTTATTATTAAAAAAAGCTATAAATCAGTTTGCTATCTAAAACAATAAAAGTTTGTATTTAATTTTTAAAATACTATTGATATAAGGAAGGCATTTTAAATATTTCACAAGTTTTCAAATTAAAACTGTTCGGATTTAAAAGGAGATCTATCATTTAGCTTGGGCTATTTTTTAAAAACTTATTGCAGTCATAAAAACTACAATCTACCGACCTACAATCTACCCTCCCCACTCCACCAAAAGAATGTCACCATTTAACCTGTTTTACTAGCTCTGATTAATTCCTCAACAATATCATTGTCCAGTATCTGTGGTGGTCCACCATCAACCTGATCTTCTGGCTGTGCCTCTAGAGATGACATGGCTTTGTAAACTGTCCTGTTGTGTCCACTCTGGTTCAAATGATCTGCAATGTGAACCAGATCCGGACTTCTGTGTCCATCTTCGTCATCTAAGCTCTCTAAGTTCCATAAAAAAATAATGCACAATGTACACTGGTTTGGGAGAAAGCAAAACAAGGCGACGCTGGAAAGAAAATAACCCATCATTTTTCCTGCTTAGACACTTTTGAAATAATAGCAAGATACAATCTATACATTGTATTGAATTTTATGTTTTCTTTTGAAATTAATAAACATAAATCTCTTCTCTGACTAGGAATTAATAGAGGTACAGAAAAGTATTTTAGCGGTAGCTAAAAATAAGGGAACTACTTGGAACTATTGACCCTTTCACCGGTTTATGAAAAACACATTGTGATAAAGTGATTTTATGTAAGGTCATACAAAAGTAAAATCCAACTCTTTGAATGAAAGTGTCCCCCTGACATTGTTGACTGCATTCATAATTAGCTATGTTGTAGAGCTTTTAATGAAAGGAAATATTTTAGTTCAAAAATACAGTAAATATATCTTGTTAATAAAAGAGTTCCTTCCTTATTATCCTCATATTGAGTTATATTTTGTAAATTCTACTATATCAAAATAGCAAATTGGGAAGATATCCAAAAAAAAAAAAACATTTAAAAAAAAAAAAAATGTATATAATTAGTTCAAATCTAAAAGTAGAATCTGGCACATGCTCATTGGGATTATGACATACTCTAGGAAATGTACAATAATAAACGATATGAAGATCTAATCCGAACATTTAAAATTTGAAATGCATGTCTTGTTGAAACATATGGTTGCACTCTGATAAACATACAAACAGAGATGGGGAAAATTATAAACAGATGAGGCTGATGTCTAATACTAATTGAAAATCTAGTACAATTTAAAGTTGAAACTGCACTTTTTAACTTTGTATTTTGTCATTTATCTTTACTGTTAATGGATTGATGGTATAATAAGTATTTTAAGTTAATTTTTAATGCATTTACTTACAACATAAATTTACATGAGGGGAGTCTTAATCAAAATAAATAATCACACAACTGAATAAGATGGATTAGAAATAGCTGTACATTGCTGTTAGTGGCAAATTATTATATCAAAACACATTTTAACTGTCTGAATCAAAGCAAAATAAAAAGGTTGATTAATTTCATTTAACAAATATTAAATACATGTCTTTAAAAAAAATGACCTTATGTTACTTTGGCATTTAAAAGAAAAAGTCTCTCAATAACCTCCATCAAAACTTACGTGGCCTTGTTGACCCATGTCCACTGTCTGTCTGGTTGCTGCCAGGGTACATCTGAGGGAAATGAGTTCTTAAATCTTTGGATATCTAAAAAAAATGTTTAAATGTAAGACTTAATTTATAATGTTTAGCAATGGTATTTATCAATCTATGTGATAGCATAAAACAAAAAAATAATGTCCATGCGTCTGAGTCACAAAATCTATCTAGCTTTGAGCTCTATCCATTCATCCCTGCATATTTTTGTGTGGAAATTTCAGATTATGGCAGCTTGCATTGCCATTTCTTTCTTGAGTTAAGGATTGTTTTAAAATTACTCAAAATATTGGGGAAATTAAATATTAATTAAAAAATATTCATTTGGCTTTAAAGCTGTATAATTTTTAGTGTGACATAATTATTATGTTGTGGACAAACAACGCAACAGCTAAAAAATTGGTTGTTTATAGAGATTTTAAATATTATAGAAAGAAATTATTTTCACCACTTATTGGCCGTCCCTAGGTTAAACCCCAATTAGGCAGTAAAGCCGACAACAATAAAACAGTCTGGCAGTAAAGCAATAAAAAATTAAACAGTCTGGCAGTAAAGCCATCAACAATAAAAAAAAAGTCTGGCAGTAGGGCCATTAAAAATAAAACAAACTTATTTCGATCTTACAAACTCTTAAGAACAAGATCAGGACCTTGTTCTGTGACTTCTTTGTTTTTAGCAGAATGTGAACACATGCAATTTTAGTAGGAGGAGAGTGATAAAGAATAGTGAAAATAATTGAGCAACAGGAAAAATAAGTCTTGTTAAGAATAAACTAGGATTATGGTATTAGATAAAGGTACTTAACAAAGTTTTTTAAAATATTATAATCTGTCCCACATTGAAGAGTCCTATTATTAATTTAAGTTTCTTTTAAAAAATGTATGCTATTTATCATGTCTTGATTTACTATTGTAATAATGTGACATAAAACTAACAGTTTCACTGATTTCAGGTGGCAGGTTGTAGACTTTCTTCATCTCTGTTTCTACATCTCGCTGCGTTCGATTCATTGAGATTGAATCTGCTTGATCTCCTTCACTAGATTTTTTCTGCAAGACAATTGAACAAATGAAAAAATATGAAGCAGTTAATCATTATTTGCCTCCAAGTCAATTCATTTATTTTGTTAGTCCACAATTTTACATTAATTAGAACACTCCAACAATCACACACATTTTGGCTGAGCAGATTAAATAAAGATTCCCATTTGTGATATGAAATTTCTATGCATCCTGAACAATTTTGACAAAATATATAATTCGTTAAAACATTACACTTAAAAATAATTTTATTATATGAATTCTACTGCCCCTAATTATTGCAATTTTTATGTACAAATGTTTGGTTAGAGCTGTTTAGGGAGTCAATACATAACTGTAAGTTGTACTCACCATTTTACCCTTCCCCTTTTTCATTGGTGTAGCATAAAGATCAGATATGTTTGCAATCTGACTGGAGTCTCCTTGTCCATACATTTCTAGATCTCCTATTTAAGAGATAGTGATTTTATATTTTTTTAAAGGAAATTTTAAATGAGGAATTTAAAATGTGATTGTAAAAAAAAATGGATGTTCAATATCAGTAACTAAGAAAAGTGTTCACTTAGAAGATAAATCATAAACTACACACCTCAACTATTTAATGAAATCAGAGGGACAGAAATTACAAATGCCTGCTTAATAGGTATTTTACTTACCTGGTGTTGCATAAATTCCAACACTCCCTGACTGACGAAATTGGGGCTGGGACTCGTGTCTCTGTTGTCTTCCATTTGCTGGCCATGTTCCAAAACCCACTGTCATGTACCTGATAAATATAAAAGCTAATATGTAGCTAAAGTTTAGGGTTGGTGTAATGTAGTACTGCCAAACTTTTTTGTTGATGGCGTTACTGTAGTTATAAGAGAAAAAAAAATTACAAGAGAAACTAATTCATGCCGAGCACATATTTGGGTAATTAATTGAAGGGCACCAATTCATGACTTCTATTTACAAAACTTTTTTGTGTACAAGTATTTAAATATCTTGATTATCCTCCTCTTTGCGCCTACTCTTATAGGATACATGTAAATATATATATTATGTAAATTTAATTTATACTTATTTAAATGTTTTCTTTTTTGTACTGATGAAGGCATTTGCCGAAACGTTTACATTTGTATTTTGTAAAATCATCATTAAAGCTGAACATATATTGTTTTATTTACACAAATTGTTTGTGTCTAATTAATCTATTATCCCCCTACCCCTCTAATCAAATAGTTATGGCTCTCTTAAACTTCATGCTAATGTATTTTGTGAAGACCAAGATCAAGTCGATAGTATACATCTCAGCTTTATTGAATTTTTAAAGAAACATAAAATGACAGTAAATGTATATTCCGTTACCCCGCCTCATCCATTTGTTGATAATCAAACAAGCTGCTCTCTGGCTCACTGAACTCATCCCTTGGGGAAACAGGGGCACCAAGGATGCGAGGCCCTGTTGTAGATTTAGGTTTTGAAGTTGTGCCAGAAGTTGATGGAGCCATTCTACCAACATGCTGGGAAATTTGTGGATTTGGTGTTGCCACTAAAGTTGCTTGTGACACAACTGCCTTTTTAATCCATTGAGAAACAGAGAAGAAGTTTGAGAAATAAGTAATAAATATAATTCAACTTAAGTCAGGCAGTCAAGGGTTCAAAATGTGTATTATGCAAGCCAGATAAAAAAAACGTCTGTACAATCAAAGCTCATGAATTTCAGTCACTTATAATAAAACTTACTTACTGTAAAAGTTAACATGGAGCACTTTTAAAACGAATTAACTCTATGCCATTCAATTAATAATTATAATGGTTAAACAGAGAACACAAAGCTAGACTAATATAAAAGAAACATTTTTGTTTTTAAGCAATAATGAAAGCATCATATTTCTTATTTCAGGAATTTATGGTAGGCTTAATGAACTTAATGTATTACTCCTTTACTGGCTTCTAAAACTTAATTATGTCTTTTTCTGTCATTTTTTTAGTTTACTAAATAAAATGATATGCCAGTAATTGAGTAAGACTAATAAGGTAAATTTGAAAAAGTAAATTAGCTTAGACTTTGACTTTTTTTACTACGGTAAAGCGTGGAAATTACACAAACCATCTGGGCTGTAGCAAAGGTGGTGATATTTGCATGGATGGTGTTATTACTATTAGCATATAATTTAGTACCTGGTACCGTGCTTTAATAGCCTTCACATAAAAAAAAACAATTTACCTCCAAGCTAACCACAATTGAAACATACTTATCTATTTTCAGGGACAAACATTTATGTTCAGTGGTGTGTAAGCCTGACCAGTGAATGTTCCTGTACATCATTAATAATAATATAAGACAACACCAGAGGTTAGGTACCGGTACTATAAAAATAGAAAGATGGTCAACTACACATGCTTTTTCATCTTTTTTCTCAACAAAGAAAATCACAAAGCTATATTCTACTCATAATCAAAATTTGAGTCTAAATTATAGAATATTTATTTATTAAATGTGGCCCTTCACAATTAGGGCTTTCAGACCCCTGCATTAGATAGTGAAATATGTTATAGTTATAACTTGATTATTTAAAATCATTATTTATTATGTGGCTGTGGTTTACACTTACAAACTACAATAGGGCCTACATCAAAGGCCTAACTCAGTCACTGACTCAAGACCAAGACTGACCAGTCCACTGCCACTGGTATCAATGATTTAACTAGGTAACACAGGGCCATGCAGAGACCAAGGCCAAGGAAACCAAGTAAATCACTGGGGCCCCTAAATAAGCCCTACTAAGGCTAAGGACTAAGGGTAAGAGCAGAATTTGTTTGATAGTTATGACTACATAACTGAGAGGAGAGTTATGATTAAATAACGAAATTTTGAATTATTATGAGTAATATGACATGAAATTTGTGGTGCCCAAAAATTTGTATTTTTTGTGGGTAAAAATTCTTTGATTTTGCACAGCCCTGAGTAACAACTAAATTACTAAGTAACTAAGATCATTTATTTTTCTAAATTACTAAGTAACTAAGATCATTTATTTTTCTAAATTACTAAGTAACTAAGATTAAGATAATTTATTTTTATACTTAATAAAACTATTTATTAAAAGTTTCAGTTAATTTCAAATTCGTGAGGAGACTCAACCCCACCGAAAAATAAAGAAATTAACAATGTCTTAATTAGCCTAACTTAAACTAAGTCGTCTAAGTGTTAGTGTATTAAGGCATTAAGGTTACATATATTAATCTTAAATTCTTAATGTTACTTTTAAGTTTTAAGTCAAGCAAGATGTCCTAGCCTTTAATGCCTTTAACTTTAATTATTTACCGTACGGTACCCAAAAAGTCACATATAAAGTTAAATTACCGCTATCTCTTATGAACTAACTTTTTTTCTTAAATTACCGCTATCTCTTATGAACTAAGAAAAAAGTTACGTCTGCTTCTTTGTTTGATTTCAGTGACTTGGACGTATACATACCGCTGTTGCCCCTTTATTCTTCTTTTTCCCTTTCTTTCCCACCATCTTGGATTCCATGTAAACATTCTCGTTGCGCTTGCGCATTGACTCCTGTTTCAATTTTTAATAAACGAAGAGATAATTACACAAACTTGAATAGTTCAAATATAATAGTGTAAAACTCCGTCACTTAATCTTTTATGGTTACCAAATTAAGATTACTGAATTATTAACCTAACGTAGTAATGATATTTACAGTGGCCAGTGCAAGAGTGGGGCGAAGGAATATCAGTCAGTTTGAGAAAATAAAAATGTGTCTCTGACTCTGATTAAGATTACTCTGAATTATAATTAAGTCTAAATCTGAATCATGATCATCTTCTTATGATAATACAGTTGACCCTCGCCACCTCGCGCTTCGAATTCCGCAGCTTCACTCTATCGCGTTTTTTTCGCAAACTGTATTTTTAAAAAGTTGATCGAGATAGTGAAACAGAGTGGCAATATAGGTACCCGCTATAGCAGCAAATAGCTATTCGGACCGACCCAGCTGGTCACGTGAGGTCTATATTATTTGGTTGGTCACGTGACGGCTATGACAATTATTTTTTTTTATCCAGATGACGCGGATGTCCACAGACAGAACGTGGAAAACGTGAATGCTCAGAAAGCATAAACTGAAAAGACAGTTTGGCACAAGAAGCGCAGGTGATCTTTCCCCTTCATATTTACGTGGATTCATGTACTACAACCGTTTTCGTGGAAATTATTATATTTTTTAAAACTTCATTGTCAACTTGGGGGATAACTATGCAGCATGGCATAATAGTACTATGCATAATTCCATTTTCACACATTATCTTCTATTTCAAAAAAAATTGTTTTAGTTTTTCTATGTTAAAAAAATTGTCTATTATTATGGGAGTGAATACGTACAACCAATGTCATTATGGAGTCATTAAAAATAATATAAGAATAGTTGTTTAAATAGCCCTTCCAACGGTGGATACTTCAATTTTAATTCACCGCAAAAATTATTATTCACACTTCCCATAAAACAAATGTTCTTTTGAATAAAAAACAATTCGGAGAGATCAGCCCGTGGCCGCCATCTTGGTTATCGTGACCCACGAAGTTATGTCCTAAATGTATCCCTAAACCTAACCTGAACCCTAAATGTATCCCTAAAACTAACATGAACCCTAAAATGTATCCCTAAACCTGATCAATCTGAATTAGCTTAAAAAACTTTTAATTCAAAAATTATTATACATTATTTCACATTTCCATTAAAACTTAAAACACTTCACACTTCCAATAAAACAAATGTCAAATGTTATTTTGATTAAAAACATACTTATCATACTTACTTCTTTAAAGGTCCTCCGCCACTGTAGTGGCCAAAATTGAACAATATCGCCTAGAATGGCGTTGAAGACATAAAAACAATTTACTGTAACACGTTGACGCCACATGAACTCACACATATACAAATCGAGCATATGTCTGTGTGTGCCGTTGTGGCGCTTGTTTCTCTCTTTTGAAGATTTCCACAAACGTTCGATGCTTTGGGTATTGGCTATTGGCACCTGAGTTTGGATCCAAAAACTTAAATGACTGTTTGATGAGTCAATCCCGGAGTGGTGCCAATTGCATTATATGCTCTCCATTGATCTGATATGACTGTTGTGCCCAGCAGGATGTGTGCTGTGATTATCGGCATAAGTGTGATGTGTAGCTGCTGATCTATCTTGTACACAAAACATGAAACACTCACTAATCTCCTGACAAATGCCTCCAAAGACCCATTGTTGTGGCAAAACTCGCCCGACATGATTTTTTCTGCATGTAAACAGACTCGTCAATTTCAACTGAGAATAAACATGACTTACCGGTGTAAATTATGTGAATTTTTTGATGTATGAAGGATGAATGGATCCTAACACGTGTTTTCGGAAATAAGGCCCATGGAGGCCCTTCAGACACCCCTGGCACAGAGTTCTACTCCTTTTCCTGCCCTCGGGGTACTTTTCGGTTGCTTCAGACAGAGCGATCCTTTTCACCATTGTGCATCCAATTATGGTTTATTTGAGCTGGGTGTTACTGAGAAAGTTGTCTGCATACTTATTAGTTATTATTATTATTCTCTCTCACAAACATTTTAATGATATATTGTGTAAAAATTAGCATAAGTACTCAAATGTGGTGCTTATCCCATGAGGCATATTTAAAGGCTCTATTTTTTCTAAAAATTCATAGGGGTCAAAAAATCTAAATTTCCTCTGACATATTGAGTGCATTTTTGCTGTAAAAGAAATAATTAAAAATGCAAAAGAGCTATTTAGATGGATTGCTTCTTATATCTAGATTCATCTGTCGCTATAGCATACATTTTTTTGGTTAAATTCATAGTAGTAATAATCAAGAGTTACATCTTGCAGGCTAGAATTATATTACCATTGATCTGTGACAAAAAAATCTATTTAAATTTCTAAGATACACTACTGTAATGCAGTTGTAGTTAAAATCTTGCACTGAGCTTGACGTTACCATTTTGAAGGTTTTCCTTTGTTCATTTAACACCACCTCCCTAATTCCAATAGTGGTTGGACTTTAACTATTTAATAGATTAAATAAACAAAGCTATTCAACTTTCGCTTAGAGAACCAGGAATTTTTTGTCGAAACACCAATGTAAACATGGCTGGTGTAAAAGCAATGTTTACACCAAGTGTGTGATTAATTTTTTTGATACTTTTTATGATGGTAAATTTAAGGTTAAAAGTGTTCATAGGATATTGTCTTCATATTAATGCAAGCTTGTGCTCTAATATAATAAGGTTTCTGTCTTCTACTAATTAATGTATTATTTTACTTCCAGGTTAAAGTTGTTGTTTTCACAGAGATCACTTGAAGACCCCCATCACTGCCAGAATTCACACCTGCTCTTATGATGAATGTGCAGGAGGAATCATGACATGCCCGGACAATGACTGGTCAACATTTTTCTTCAGGTAAATACAGTCCTTTTTATTCTATTTATTTTTCATTACCCATGCCACTAATTTAAAAAAAAAATTTTTGATTTTATTTTTTTACATTTTAACTTGTTGCTTGATTTATCACACTGGTTAATAATCTTGAGGTAACTTTCCATTATTGGGATCTTGGAAATTTATTCCCAATGGATCATAAAGCCACCACAATCTTAGTTCTGGCCAGGAAAACCCTGAAAAGTGTGTAATCTGCTTATTAGTGTACTCTTTCAGTTTTAGCTGGGAAATTATTTTAAAGGTTTTCATCGAAACCTTAAAAATAATTGCTTATTAAAAAGACTTAAAACTATTAAACATTCAGTATTATCTATAACAGCGACTCACTTCACTTTTTTACATATATATACCATAACCACACTGAACAGAATCAGTCATATGCTCACACACAGACACAATCTTATTGTTTTCTATAATAGAATCAATGTACCTGGTGAAAACCTCCTGTGACCGACTCAAAAGCCCACTTATACCATTGAAATATTTTTTGTGTAAATAGGCCTTTGAATAGGGATCTACAGTACATGCTGAATTTTGATTTATAGCCATGTCTAGACTTAATTATGTGTTGATCATTCTTAAACATCATCCAAAAATTCAAATTAAATAATTCTAATAATAAGTATGCCGCTAAATGGGAGAAATAGAGATAGATAAACAGATCAATTTGTTAACGCTGATCATTAGTAGGGCCATGGCCTGTTTCACCACATCCTTCCATTCAGACATCATCATCATAGGTGCTACAGCCCATCATAGGGGCCTTGTCTGCTCGTCTGCTCTACAACATCCTCCCTTTTAACCTGATCCATGTCTTTACACCTTCCAGGTGATTTTAATCCTTTGCAACTCAATCCATATCAGTCTTGGTCCACGGATGAGCCGTTAACCCCCTAGGCTTCAGTCTGTAGATCACTTTTGCTGCTCTACAATCTAATATCCTCTCAAGGTTTCTTGCCCAAAGCAGCCTGCTCCTTTAAATTGCAGCAACTACGGATGGTTTCGGTACTGAAAATGTTCATGAGGAAATTGCATCAGCGGGCTGTCGAGCTAGTACATTAGCTCTTTATGCCCTCCCCAAAACACACACACCCTCACTCCCCAAGCCTGAGTTATTGGGCTGGGAAGCGGAACGTTGGAGATTTCTCTTTGCCAGGACAGCCCCAGCCCGCACTCACTCCATCGAGTACCAGTGGATGTTACCCCAGCACAAGGACATCCGGTAGGCCGGTGACGCTTCTCTCACAGCATCAGGAGTCGGGATGGTGTATTTACATCCTAAAATCTTACCCTGCCCGTCCCTGGGAACGCCCGATGCCATTGGATACAGATTTCTACAGTGGGTTTCTACCTTGAAACTAATTTACGAAGCAGCTGGGACGAAACGGTTGCCTAGGTACAACTACTTTAACTGCTATGTAAATAGAACCATTGGCATGAGTTGCCACTACCCACCTCATGCCTCGTATCCTTAAAGGGCAACATGTAATCATGCTCCCTACCCTGTTTCTGCCGTTTTATTTCCAGCTGCAGATTTTCCACAGCTGGTAGCCCTTTAAGTGCTTCCATTTTCGGCAGATACTATGCACGCTCTTTGTCTGCCAGCATAGGCTCACGCAATAATGGTGGTTTTGGTCCAAGTCTTGCGCTAGGGGGCAGCACCTCTTTAGCCAGCAAGCCACTACAAACTTGTCAACCAGAGCCCCAGGGGATATATATACCCATCCATCATTATCTAACACTGGACTGTATATTTTTCTGAGGATTTTCCAGGTATTGAACAGGTTCTCTTCTTTTGTCTGGCTGTTTTGCATTACCACTGGTCTTATGATAATAAAAGTTGTGAATAGGGCCATCGTAGTTTTCCTTGAGAGATTTCTGCTTCCTAGTTGTAGCTCGTGTAGGCTGAAATAAGAAGAATGGCCTGCTTTTATCCTTTCTTTCATCTCTGTCATTTCATTTGTCTCTCTCTGGTGTGCTTGTTTACTTTGATTTTGTCACCTGTGTGTCTGATACATGACCTTAACATACACTTTGTTTTGACCTCGAAGAAATCTAATATCGAATTCGGAGTACCCCAGGGTTCGGTCCTAGGCCCGGTGCTTTTCACGATGTACATTCAGCCCCTGGGTGCAGAGATCAGGCAGTTTGACATGTTGTATCACATGTTCGCGGACGATACACAACTTCATGAATCCGTGATCCCTTCTCAGTTCCCTCAGCTGCTCAGTATGACACAGAAGACAATGGAGTCGGTTAAGCGCTGGATAACCATAAACAAGCTCAAATTAAATGATGATAAGACTGAGCTGCGACCGCTCAGAAGCAAAAATCTGCAAATAACACGACATCCATTACTCTCTCAGGTGTGCGTAATGAGTTAGCTCAAACAGTGCGGTACCTGGGTGTCTACCTAGATAGAAGACTAACTTTTGAAAGTCATATTAACATGCTATGCAAGGCGATTTTTCTGGAGCTGCGCAGGATTA